GCTTTCGGGGAATCCTTTCCACCATGGCCGCCTCTTGGCAGCTGTCCGGGAGAATTCGGCTCCTTCTGCTCATGGAAAAGTCTGCTATCTATGATTGGTCCCTCTGACGAGAGGTGTTGCAGCATCAAAAGGGACTTTGAGGGTGCCTGGCCCCACCCTGGGACATGGCTGGACATCCTTCTCCTTGACATCCCCCCTGGACTGGGCAGCTGCCCTCTGCTTGCTTTTGGCAGATTTAAGCTTCCCTATGTCATCACCGCCGTCTGTCCTACCTGAGCTCAGAAGAGTCACTTTCTTCCAGGGAAGGAAAAGAAGGTGCAGTTGATGGAGGGGTCATCTTGCAGGGCTGTGTGAAGACCAGGGTCGGTCCCTGCTCCTCCCCGTACTCCCTGCGTTCAGTGCTGCCATCTCCAGACCCTATTCTGCCATGAGGAGGGCAAAGGGTCCTGTTCCCCAGGGCGGCTGCTGTGAAGCAACAGGAGAGGATGCAAGCGGAGGGCTCTGCAGGCCCTGGGCCATCCACGGATGGTTGTAATTCAGCAAGCCCTCTGCTTCCCCTTGGGTCTCTCCAGTCCCTCAGCTGTGACGTGTTGGTGCTGAAACTGCACCCGGGACCCCTCCCAGCTCTGAAACTCGGTAACCTTGTGCTCTGATCACACGAGCCCAAATCTTCAAACCGGGCTTCCCTCCCATCAACTGGCTCCGAGAGCCATCACTTGCTGATGACATCTGAGTGACACTGACAGCACAGTGGGTCACAGGGGGTCCTGACCCTGTGGGGGGAGTGGTGCGTGCCCCTTTCATCCATGCACAGCCAGACCCTAAGCACCTCCCGCCACATGTGTGTTGTGGGCTGAACGCTGTGCCCCCAGAATTCACGTGTGTAAGCCCAAACCCATGATGGGTTGGGAGGCAGAGGAGGGCCTCTCGGAGGAGGGGTACAGTGTCCAAGAACAAGAGATGCCAGAGCACTCTCTCCTTCCACAAGTACTCAGCGCAAGGACAGAGCTGGAAGCGGCCTCACCAGACGTCCCCCCATCGCCAGCACCCTGATCATGGACGCCCCACTGTTGCAGAAAAACGTGTTTCAGCTCAGTGGTGACAGCAACCTGGATTCGTGCAAGAGACCAAACAGCACTTGGAGAGTTGGAGAACTCAGGCTTATTACACAAGCGCACACAGAGAAGTTAACACTCCAAGCCTGGGA